TCAAAAAAATCTGAAGTAACGATTGTCTCAAATTCATATGCATACTTAAACAAATCCAAATTTGAGATTGAGATAATGCAGTAAAGATGACATCATCAATCCTTGCAGTTTAAACATGGCTTTCAAAAATAAGACAGATCAACCTGCTACACTTCAAAATAACAGCGCTACCTCCTAGTTTATAACGTTGAAAGTTTTTTTTTAAATACTATGAAATATAAACTGTAATATATTCATATTTATTATGTATTGATGCTGGTTCTAGTTAGTGGGGTTATACTAATACCCACCAGCACATGTAAGGTTGTGATGTTAGGTTCTATTGTCTAGGTTACAATTAAAAACAACCAAAGGGTCAACATCGGCGTCCGGATCGATCCTTCATGTAAAGTATTAGACAAGAACCCGAATATATTACACAAACGATGTATGAATTATCATCCCCCAGTTTTCTGAAATGTATTTATTTTTTCTCAGTGAGAGCTGGGCATTACTGATAATGTCAAAGACTAAAAAGCAAAGACGAAACATCACAGATTGACGATAAAACAGTAAAGGTCAGCTCCCGCTAACAATAAAATTAAGAGTGATGCACAATGTGTATTTTTGAAATGGACATATTTTTGCATATTATGCTTTGTATGATAAGTAAAAAAAAATCACTTTGTGTTTCTGAAAAGCATGACTTGCGTGAATTATTACACTGCTATGATAATTTATCATTTAAGGACCAGGGCTTTATAAGAATTCATAATATACAAAGCCTATTATTATCTTGAATAAATTCAACTATGTAGAAAGACGCCAGCCTAATGCTATTAGCATGCAGTGCTAGCATAGCTCGGTAGCATAGCTTACTCACGAGAGCTATGCTGATGCGCTAATATAGGAGTTAGGTGTGCTGAAGATCGCTGACTTGTGATGAAAGTTGCACAATTAAATCGATTGACATTAATAACGATAACATGGAGATAAATAGCTAATATATTAGATATTTCACTTTCCGCTCCTCTGTCGCTGCCAGAAGCCAGGCTGAGGACTAAACTGTTGGTGCTTCATCAAAGCTACAGCGCTGTTGGAATGGGTTAATGTGATTGGCTGAAAAATAGGTTACTCCAACTAGGGCTCTATTCATATGATTGGCTGAAACAAGGAAGCTATCTGATTGGTTGCTGATCACCCAATCAGATAGACCATTTATTTAAAAAAAAGACTGAATTGTGAGAAGTCGGGGGAGTCTCAAAATTCACACACAAATGCAGTGCAACTGACAGGCCAGAAGGAGCTCGTAAGTGTGAATCTTGTTCTGTGCATTTGTGGATCTTTTGCATTTGTGAATTTTGAAACCGTTTTAGCTCCATACCAATGTGCTACTTTGTGTTGGTGTGTACAAAGCAAAGCAATCCCACTAAAATACTTAGAGTCTCAGGTTGTAACACAGTAAGAAAATGAGAATGTTCAACAGGTGAAAACATTTCTGTACAACTTAGCAGCACTGTGTACCTGCTGGAGCCACAGCAGATGGCTCTGCAGGCGGCCCTCCTCCAGAAAGGTCCTGAGCTGGGCAGAGATGTTCAGCCACACCCGGGTGTAGTGAGTCACATTCCCAACAAACGCAAACGTCTCATTCGCCTAGGATTGAAAAGAGAACAAAGTCAACTATATTGACTTTTACACTATGTCCTTTCTAAAACTCTCATCTACAAACGTTGCCGAGTTCTCCAGTCTGCTTGGTCAGAGGCCTAAGGAGTCAATTCTCAACCAAACCAGAGTTAAAAGAATTAAACTCTGCCCAGAAAGTTTTTTACTGAATCTTGGTTATATCAAGATGCAGACGGTAAAATTATTCGAATCCTCTGTTCAGAGCTCTCTGATTGGTTCAGAGCTCTCTGATCTGTGGAACTGAATGCCAAACATGTCAGATATGGACTGGGATATGCTGTGAGTAATTCTATATAACATGCTCCATACCAGCTGCCTACTTACCTTCTGAATCACTTTGTCCACCTGAGAGCCAATGGGGGAGTAGAGGATCTTGGGATTTGTAGTCATCAGGTGAACGAGGAGGCCCAGGTTCCTTTGTTCTTTGCTGGTGAATCCCAGTGAGCTCATATTCCCCTGCTTCAGCGCCTCTGGCTCAATGATCCTGAAATAAAAGTAAGTCATCATCAAAGTCTTCTACTGAATCACAGAAAATCACTTTTCCGTCTTTTACATTAAAACCAGCTGTTACTATGGCTACTATTCAGTTTCCTACCTTATACATGAGTCTGCTGTATAAGGTATATAATATAAGTATAATATAATATAATATAATATAATATATATAATATAATATACTGTATAAGTCTTCCAAGACCTTGTTGCTAGTTTCTCCTCTACAGTCATGATACAAAATAGTAGCAATAGGTCAAATATACATGGAAATGTTCCACTGGCTTTCAGCCCTTTTGGCGTACTTTGACAGAGCTATGCATGTAGCAACAGGCTACAATCCTATCTTCTGTTTTGTCCTCAGAGCTTCTCCAGAACTCCATCCTGATCAGAGTGAGATTGTGTTCCAAGTCTATGAGTCTAGAAGTACATGATGACAGGGCAGCTTAAGGAGCTGCTTAGTTCATTTATGCCATGGTCCGGTTGTAAATGTGATCAGCATTACATGGTGTTAGATCCACTAGCTGATGACTTACTTTGGATTTATCAGAAGGGCAAATAACTGATATTTATTTTAATTGTATTTTTTTATTTGTTGTTTTAAGATTGTAGTTGTGAATTTAGGAATTGTTGGCAATGTCTTCCAGTAACATAATTACCCAGTAATATTTTTACATTTCCTGTCAACTTAACATATATAAAACAAAAACACAGTGGGTTGCTGGCGGACCGCCTCCATGCCCCGACCACCAGGCTTAGCAAGGTTTCCAGGGGAGAACAGTTTTTCTCAGGAAATTCAAATGAACTGTTCTCATCTCTGAAAAGAAATGAATCTTTTTCGACACATAGTAAATATTTTTTGTGAAGACCAAAGATTATCATCAGATTGCTTAAGTGCTTGTTAAATATAAGAAACTGTTTGATTTATTAATTATAAGAAGATGCAAATAAACAAATAATTAAGTATCCGTTTAAATAAGAAAAATATTTTATTGCCTAAACTGCAATAAGAACATTCCTTTAGTGAATGCCTCATCATTTGGAGCAAAGGCTGCAGCTAAAAACACTTCTAACATCAACATGTGAAGAGCTCAACACTTTCATCAGCACAGTATAGTTCTGACCTGGGGATGATGCAAAAGATGCTTAGTAGGAGATTTTTGTTTTTAATTAAATTTGGACTAGATGAAGCTAAAACAGCCACTTGAAGAGTTTTGGATGGAAAATATTTAAGTAATTGCTCATTTTAAATACAAAATCTTTTGGCTTCCTTCCTTAGGTCTGAATGAACTGTTCTTTAAGCAAATGGCCTTTTGTTGAGTCTATGCTTAAGTTAATAAATAATAGATTGCTGAACTAGCTGATGACTTTCCGTTAATTGATTGATTTATTTATTTTTTTTTTTTTTTACCTTTTTTGACCCAGTTTTAATTTCTTAATTTGGACTTTATTCCAAAACCATTAGACTGCATTAGTATAAAATAATGTTATCTGGTCCTGCTCTAGGTCGGAGCTTTCACTGACTCATGTTGAGATTTCACCCACCTGTTGTTCCCACACAGAATGGGCTGCAGTCCTGCCCACAGCTGAACAAACGCTGAGAACTGAGAGTGAGGATTCTCCTCCCCCTCCTTCTTCCCTCCGCCCTCTGCCCCCTCCTCTCCGTCTTCTCTGGGAACATCTGTTGTGTTGATGCTCCATGTGGTGGTGTTCAGAGGCCACGTTCCGTTGCTCGTGGATACTGGGTTTTGCCCGGCGCATGCTCCTTTGGGGAGCAGGCGAGCCAGTCCAGACAGCAGGTCCACGTCCTTCAGGAGCCTCTCCACATCAGCCAGGTCCTTCAGCAGGGCACCCAGCTGGGACTGGGACAGGGGGGCCACAGGGCCGGCCTGCTCCGCATGAAGCTACAGAGTCACACTTTGGTCACTTAAAATAACATTTAAAAGCCAATACAATGTTTTTTTTTCCTTGGAGAAGAATTACTTTGTTCCGTTACTTTTAACATGGTGCAAAAATCTATATTATTCATCTGTTACATTTAAATTGTTTTGTAAGGGTTTCTTTTACTCAGTAAAATCAGGACAATCAGGGATTGCAGACCGATTTCTTCATCCATTCCATAAGCCTGTCACTTTCTTAAATAAAACTGTGTGTCACACAAAAACATTGATTTGTGGACTGAGCATCTATTGAGGTCAGAAAACTCCAAAGCATTTCCCTCCACACAAACAGAAAACAGAGCAGCTTTTTATCCAGACAGCAAGATGTTTCCTCTTTGCTTTACAGAAATGGCCACCTGCTGCCTTCTGTACACAAAGCTATT